GTGTGATCTCTTCACTTTGAAGATACCTAAACGCCAGGCAACCAGGAAGTTCAAATACTTGTACCAGTTGTCTTATGAACCAGAACTGAGATTACTCGGAGTCGTCGTTAAACGATACAGATGATTTCGTGAGGACCACTCCATAGCTCCAACCACGCATGTCGCTATCTACCGAATCTCAGTCACAACGGCAGTTTGAGAGGTTCAAGTCGTGTTTGGGATAGTGAAAATGCTCTATTGACGCAAATTGTTAGATGTTTCGCTTTTGTCGTTGTTGAAAGATGTTTTCGGAAAAAATGGAAGGTGCTAGAGCATCGACTTCGCAAGTCCAGAACATAGTACTCAGTTCAGTTCGGTTAATCAGATATGAGTCGAACCAGCTCACTAGAGGTTTGCTGATTCCATAAGACTTAATCCCTACCAACGGTGGTTTTTGCGATACACAGTCAAACGCTTTTTGCTTATCCAGAAGGAGGATGATAGTGGCTATGCCACCATCAGGTGTTACTGCAACATGATCAAGGAGTTGTGATTGGCATGTGACACAGAAAGTTTAGTGAACACATGGGAAGTGCTGCGTAGGTTTTGTCTTTTTAGGAACAGTTTTACCTTATTCTTGACGAGTCTTTCATAGGCCCTGCCGCTGGCAGAATTAGGGTTTATCGGCAATAGTTTGACATCCGATCTCGACAACCGCCTCTGTGTTTCGGCACAAACTGTGGTTTTTCCACTGAGAGGGAAAGCATCCAGTGTTTAATGACAGTGTAAAAATGTTCAACATCAGTAGCGGTACGTTTTCGCCAACTAATCTTATAGCTGCTTGGTGAATACCATCGGGTCCAGTTTGGAATGTCCGTTTGATGTATTTAATAGTCATCACTGAATCCTTAACCTTCAGGGATGGTACACAGTACCTCTTCCTTTTGCATAGTAAGAGCGGAGAGTATACAGACGAAGCAATGGTAAATGAGGCAGTAAAGTTGGAACGCCTTGAGTAATATAGTTGGACTATATGGTCTGTTACCGTATCAAGGTTTAAAAGTAGACTTGGAATTTCCTGGAGTCGTTTCGGATTTCTTCTTCTGAGTAACTGAATCAGGACACGAGCTTTCTCTGTACTCCTGATGGTTCGAGTTTCCTCGTCATTCCTTAATGATTTGCACTGGATTTGCAGTTTTAATCCACCTACCTCTTTCAGGTAATCGGTGTGAAATTCCTTCTGGCTGACGCCCTTGCAATATTTCCGTCTACTCAACCTGACTACCCTAGGGTAGCCGTTAAGCTTCAGCATTTCCCCCATCTGCAACCATCATTCCAATCTATATTCTCTCAGCTTGTGTCTCCCCGTCTATCTCGTTATTGTCTACGACTGGGCTCCACAACCCAATCGCCTGCTGACACCTGAGGAAAGACTTGCTTTCTTCAGATTTCTCAAATGGGAGTTCAAACAGCATTTGCACTCCAAAGGGGCTGAAGAAGATTGGTCGATGCGCTTCTTCTAAGTGCCTTTGTAGTTTTCAGGCAAGTGTTGATAGACGAAGTCTGTATAAGAACCAGAATAGGGTGTCATGTATTTTATTAATGTAGTGGAAAGGCAAAATGTAACGCTGACTTCGAAGCTTCCCTAGTATACTGTCAATGACACGACAGGTTCAGTAACACACTATGGGTTACTATCACCCTGATCCAAGTGTTGAACGCGCTTCGCCACAACACCGACATAGTAAGGTTGAAGCAACGAGTGGGTTAGCAGTTGCATAAAATTGTTCCTATAACGTGTTACAAACTAACCGCACACAATATAGTCTCTTGAAGTAAATGCGTTTGAAATTTAGTAGTTTCAAAGACGGACTGCTTATATGAATTAGCCTAAAGAAGGAAGGCGAAGCTAGTAGTTTCGATTTAGTTACTCTGAGAAGTGAACAGTCAAGCTGACGCTGCAGCCAACTGTAACAGTGTTCAGTGAGTGAAATGCTGCAGAAAATGGCCAGCCAACTGCCTTTAATAACAACAATTCTTTCGTTAAAAACTTGTTAAAATCATGCGCTGTCAATCGGTCCCAAGCATATTTCAAGATGTTGAATACTCTTTTTCCATCTCACACACATCAAATGGGATAGCGTTTATGCTTTTTATCAAATCATCAAATGGACAACGAGCAAAAAGCCGCTGTTTTATTGAGCAGGATTTGTCTATACCATGCGCTCCAGGTTTTTGTGCATTAGTTCTAGCTTGAAGATAGGTAATGTAGTGATAACATGTGATGATGTTAAGACGATATGGTTAACAAATCCGCGCTTTCCAAACTATGTCAAAACAGTTTTCAAGATTGAATTTTAGCCCACGGACCGACACATATTCTCATGCGAATCGCAATCGCAGTATTCATTTCTTCATAAGGACACATGCCTAGCCACTGCTTGAAATGACTCACCTTGATATCAAATTACCTAGGACAAATTCGCCCCTTCCATGCATTTGTGCGTTTGAAAGTCAATTTGTGACTTGTCATGTGTGGGTAGCAATCCGTTTGTTACAGCGAAATCGCAACGACACGTATTGGTTACTGTTAATGGGAACTCGAACACGACTAACGAGCTTGTGTTTCACACTGGTAATGCGAAGAATCCAGCAATAACGATGTGCAAAAGTGTGTGTTTGGAATGTTCCCTTTCACGGTTGGATCAGAGAGAAGTAACAGATAGTCTACTAAAACCAGAAGTACTGTAATCACAGGATGAGGCAATTACAAGAAAACACACCTCACTATGATCGCAAGTACAGAACCAATTGGATGGTGGTCCCACTGGCGCTCTGTCATTTCCCTTTGTCCAAGTTCTCGAGATGGAAAATCCACGTCTGGCTGCAGCAGCTACTGCCTTCTCGTAGGTGCAGGGTGAGGAAGTTCAGACACAACACATAGCTACAGCTTGCATTGGCAGTCAGGTTACACGAGGTGTGACACTTGAGAGTCTTCAATACCCAGCTGCTCAATTGCTTGTTGTGAGTGGCGTCAGTGGCTGTTAAGATGTCCAGCGCAAATGCCTTCAATATTACAAATAACTGTTCGTGGTTCGAATACGAATGTGTGTTGCAAAATCCTTACCTTTCACATCTCGCTTGTATGCACATCCTCAGATACGATGTGCTCACGTTTCGTTTGTCCCTAGTTTGTGGGTGCACGGCAACTGACCGAATTAAGGCCGTATTTAGTTTCATAAAGCCACGTTGATCTAAAAACCATTACTTCATTTAGAGTGCTTTTAAATGGATCCGGTTCCTTAACTCACCATGGGATTGAAAAGTAATAATTAAACACTAAGATTGATGACCCGTTTAAGTAGATCTGCGCATCCTCGTTAAGACAGCTGCAAAAAGGAAAGCAACTTCATGACTTGTATTTTTAGGAATGATTTGAACATTCAACAGAGGTGGTGTCGGTCAAGTTATCAGCAGTTCTTACTCTGTATATGCGCACTGTTCGTTCTTCATAAAATATTACCGTTGAAGGTATACAATTCACATAGTACCCCACTCTTTTTTCGTTGTGCTTGCTTCTTTTTGTTCAAATTGCGAGGGAACTTTTAGGTGTTTAAATGTAAGTTGACATGCCGGATAAGTGATCACCAGTGAATATTCGAAGAAAGCATAGAAGTAGCCAAATAGGCGTCGGTCCTCATCTTAAACTACAAAATATGGAGCTGTTCAATGAACCTCGTATGGCGGATCTGATCATACATGTGACAGCATTCTGTCTTAAGACGATTGGAACTATGGAGGAATAAACAGTGCTCGTAATCACTAGCACTCACTCATAGACTGAACATTCAATGAAAAATTTGATAGCTAACTGAATGCAGAGATCGCTTAGACCAGTGCGATTAACGGCGATAACATCCAAACCGGTTATCAGGTCGAAATCTTTAGGCATAAGCCATCGCAAGCCAACACAGAGACGTCCAAATCGTAATCGCTAACACGGTAATACCATCGGAATGCACGTTACGGTAAATCGCAAGGCGCGAACAAGTGCAAGAGCCCGCGAACGGGGTAGTTTCATTGAGCTACGCACAACATCTCATTTGAATCCTTCAACAGGAACATGTTATACTTCAACACATTTGGTCTGTACGACTACGTGCATGTAATTAACACATCTCATGTAAACGCTACTGGACACACATGTGCTAGCAACACACATGTGCTAAAGCAACTTGCTAATATTTAGTTTGACGCATCTGCTCAACTAGTTAGTGGTCTTCTATGTATTTTATCGTGCTAGGCTCGAAGAGTGGTTCCATGCACTCACTGTGGAGCGGACTACGGTCCAGCCACCGCCTTGTGTGCGCTTGATTCCCCAAATACAGCGTGCTTGTATTTGCCTGTGAAGGAGTGTGGGCCGGCTCCGTTAATGAAACGTGGCTCCGATCCACATGCCTCCCGGTCTTATTCCTTCGGGTTTACACTGGATATGGTGTGTGGTTGGAGCTGTGGGTGATGCAGCGCAAGCCACCCATGGTCCCTCTGTGGACGCAGGCGTCCTGTGTCTGGCCACAGTGACAGGCAAATCCGAAACCTGATGCCGGCAACCATGTATTTTATCGGAAATAAAGCTAGACAGCACATGACACATAATATCTAAAACAAGACCCAGCCACTGAGAAGTTATGTGGAATGCCACTTGTGTCTAGCAAATGGCTTACACAGGTATACCGAAAATTCTGGCAATTCTGGAAGGGTTTTGCAAGAAACAGCTGCTGCGTAGTTCGAAATTCGTAACCTTCAGAATACGCATTTCACTCTCTTCAGGATGAAACCATTTAGCGTACGGTCTTACAATAAGAAGGGAACTTAACTGAGATAAATTCTGTATAAAATATTTTTCGAAGTCACAAAATGTGAAGTAAATTAGATGAATCCGATCGAATCGCCGAGTGAATCCGTGCAATGCAGGATGGGTAGTACCATGCAACAAAAAGTTTGGAAGCGGATTTGGTACTTCAGACGTTGTGCCTCTTTTCTGCAGCAGATGGATGCAAAGCTTGGGAAGTGTGATTTTGATTATGCTTCTTTGCTAGCACCTCCACGCAACCGGCCTGTGTGTCTTGCCAGGAGGCGAGTGATGACATGGGTTCTGAGTTGTTCAAGCACCCCAACTGAGACCTTGGTTGTACTGCGTTGGTCACTTGTGGCGGGGAATTTTCAATGGGTACCGCAGTGCAACGAAGTTCTGTACCGGCAGTCTGTCCTCTTACTGCTCTTCGCTTGTTAGGGACAAATTCGAAATCATCACTAACACCAAGCCGCATAATTGGCTTGCAGTGGAAACCGCAGCTGTTCAGCAACCGACGCAGTAGATAATGCACGCGATGACGGAAGGCCTGTCCGGTAGCGTAGTAGATAAGAAATCCGAATGCATAATACGAAAGAGCAATCTCATCACCGAAAGCTTTTATGCTCATAATAGAGAGGTAACGAGTCCATTGGGGATCTTCTTCGACCTGAAATACAACCGAATACTGCTCATTTTTCGTTGACATTTAGCTCAAAAATTTGAACGGCTGATACATCGGTTTCTGCCTATTCATTGATAAAAAATGTTTATATGCCCAAAGGCTGGTCCTAGAAGAAAAAACATGTTTTCGTTTCTCTAACCAAAACAAGACACTATTTTCAGCAACGAGTACTTTAGGTGCATATTCGTATTACTTAAAGTTGGATGCTAGGAAGATAACTGAATCGCCAGTAATGACAAGAATAATTGGACATTTGTCACATGCAGTACAGAAGAAGTGGGTGAAAATGTCGGAATACCAGGCGATAATACCACTTTACACTTCGAGTGTGTTTGCTGGTCGCACGTTTTCGTACAGCAACCACCTATTATGCTGTGTGGGCCACTCAGCTGCAATTTATTTGGGTCGTAGGTGACTAAACTCACATGCAGAGACTACGCGTACCTTGTTTAGGAGCCAAGTAAACGGTTAATACGAATGCGCGGATTCACACTGATGGCTGCAGGAAACTCTGTACAGTTAGACATTGACATGAGCGAATAAGAGTTTAAAGTTCTCACTGCAGCTGAGTTAAAGCAAGCAGAGGTAATTGTTCGTAAGGAATAGCATCTAACAGGTACGTACTGCTGAGTTTCCAGATGAAACATACCGACGAAGTCATCATGAGTGAAACCTGACTGAGCGCGTTTCTCTGATAGAACAAAGGTGGTTGTCTGATTTGAATGCGCCGATCTATGAATGCTCTCGGGAGGCTAAATGTACATCTGACTAGTTTGGTAATAGTATTTCTATGGTGAACGTGTGCGGAACTAAGTCAAAGTATATCACAGTATTGAGCGTAAAATGATGGTAAATTCTTTAAGTAACGAACACTATAACTGGTGTGTCGTCCATCCAGATAACAGTTCAACTTAACCGGATTTAGCCTCATAAGTTTTATTGCTTAGTACACACATTTTACAAATTGGCAGTAACATATTCCTTTCGAACTAATGCACATACTGCAACTTAGTTAACTACATAATCTCAAACACTGTTTACAAAAACGCTTTGAGGACACCAGTGCGGAATTTCTCCACAGAAAGTCGCAAGCTTAGCGAACTGGTCCATGAACATTATTTGGGAGTCTATAGCCTATGTTTGCCATTACGCGTGCTCTACTGGTGCAATGCATACTGATACAGTAAACATGCAAGAAAATGTTATATAAACATTATGCAGAGCTTTAATTACACCAAATCTCGTTTCACCTTCAGCCAGTGGAAAACAGTTAGAAATAATAAAAATAAAATTTCCATCCCGTACTACCGCTCTGAATGCTGCATAACTAAGTACCACC